ACTGAGTCAGCTTTCAAGGTTATTCCCCTTGCCCATTCTGGCCAGTCTGCCTTAGTTCTTTAGGTAAGGAAAGTATTCAGTCTTGTCTGTGACCCTTCATACACACCTCTGCATAGCAAGAGCAGTTTTTCTGTGACCGGCACAAGTGTTTTAGAGCTCGTGGCTACCCACTGCAGACTCCTGAGTAGCTCAAAGCCCACAGCTCTCTGATTCCTCCTTCAAATACTTCATTCAATTTTGTGTCTACATCAGGAGAACCTGAGTCTAAAGTAATGGCTTAATCAAACACTGTCTAAGATGCAAAGCTGACTTGTGACCCAGTGGTACAAATGCTTCCCTGCTGTGAGAGCTATACGAGGTTGTGCAGTGACAGGATGTCTTGGGGTCAGCAGTAGCAGTCATTTTTCTCCTTCTTAGTGGCTGGTGCAGTGCTGTGTTTTCAACTTTCAGCCTGGGAACAGTGCTGATAACACTGATGGTTTTAGTCGTTGCTCAGTGATGTTTACTCTGACCAAGGACATTGTAAGTCTCATGCTCTGCCAGGGAGGAGGGGAAGCTGGGAGGAAGCAGAGACAGGACACCTGACCCAAACTAGCCAAGGAGGTGTTCTGTACCACAGCACATCATGCCCAGTATAGAAACTGGGGGCACTTACCTGGAAGGGTCGGGCTGGGTATCCTTTGGTGGGTGGTGAGCGGTTGCATTCTCTTCCCTTGTTATTTCTCCTATCATAATTGTTATGGGTGGTAGCAGCAGTGGTTTATATTATACCCTAGTTACTGGACTGTTCTTACCTCAACCTGTGGCAGTTACATTCTTTCAGTTCTCTCCATTCCTCTGGAAGCAGAAGGAGGAAGGGGGAGGAGTGAGTGAGCGGCTGCGTGTTTCTGGGTTGCCGGCTGGGCTTAAACCACGACACAGGACAAGGGGGAGTGGCTTTAAGCTGAAAGAGGGGGGATTTAAATAATCAGACATTAGGAAGGAATTCCTCCCTGTGAGGGTGCTGAGGCTCTGGCACAGGGTGCCCAGAGAAGCTGTGGCTGCCCCATCCCTGGCAGTGCTCAAGGCCAGGTTGGACAGACCGGAGGATCTGCCAACAGGGCTAGTCCAGCTCAATCAGAACTTTCACATACTGCAGAAGGGGATAAAATTCCTGTGGTGCACATAAGGAATTTGCTGGAGAAGACAGTCTGGGTTAGTCCTGCTTCAGGTGAAGGCAAACCCAGGCATGGGATTGCTTTCACTCAGGGTCCTGGACATACTTGGTGGGCAATGCGGGAAGATGGGGAAGTCCAGTGTGTACCTCAAGGGGATTTGATTGTAGGGGAAAACAGCCTGTGAACTCAATCGTATGCTGTTCCTGCTATATAACACTTTTCTCGCCCATCAGCTAGGTGTGCATCTCCACCACTCTGGGCTTTGAAAAGAAGATATGTGCTGTCACGATCATCATCAGAGAATAAAGTCATGGGAAAAGCCAGTGGCAGCAGCAGAACTGTCCTCAGTTCTGACATCTCTCTGATCATCACCCCAACGAAGAATGAACTTTGACGAAACCAGACGAGCTCAGCAGTGACCAGACGAGTTCAGTGGTGTCATCAGCAGGCAACAACCCAACACTACACACTGTCTCTCCTGCCCTGAAGGACTGTTACAAGAGATGGAGCCTGACATCATGGGATGAATTCAGCAGCTTCATAGGGATTGATCCGTGGACTAGGGAATGATATGTATCTCTTTCTGTGTGTGAGGTGTATTTATATATATCTGGGACAAAAAGCGATGTTATACTGAAAAACAAGTCTGAGCATGACGTGAATGGTATGGAATAAGGGGTGGATACTGCCCTGGGTTCAGCTGTAACAGTTATTTTTCTCCCTCCTAGTAGCTGGTGCAGTGCTGTGGTTTTGACTTTTGTCTGCGAACAACGCTGTTGACTCCCCAGTGCTCTAGTTTTTGCTAAGTAATGCTTACCCTGATGAAGGACTTTTCAGTCTGTCGTGCTCTGCCAGTGAAGAGGGGCATGTGAAGCCAGGAGGAAGCAGAGACAGGGCAGCAAACCGAAACTAGGTAAAGGGGTATTCACAGCACGTCATGTCCAGTATATAAACTGGGGGGAGTTACCTGGAAGGCCCAGATTGCTGCTCGGATCAGGCTGGGTATCAGTCGGTGGGTGGTGAGCAATTGTATTCTGCATCACTGCTGTTTACTTTTTTCTTTCCCCTTTTAGTTTCAAATACTTTCCCCTTGTTATTGCCATGATCATCATTATTACTGGGGGGAGCAGTAGTGGTTTTGTGTTATACCTTAGTTACCGCGCTGTTCTTATCTCAGTGTGAGGGGGTCTGATTTTGGAACAAGTCCAGAGGAGGCCACGAGGATGATCAGGGCACTGGAGCACCTCCCGTATGAAGACAGGCTGAGAAAGCTGGGGCTGTTCAGCCTGGAGAAGGCTCAGAGCAGCCTTCCAGTATCTGAAGTAGGCTTATAAGGATGCTGGGGAGGGACTGGCTGGGCTTAAAACTACAACACACAGAAACAGGATTCTATAGGCAATCAGGAGAAATCTCTGGATAGGGGGCTCTTGTCCTGGGAGATTTCCATTTCCCACAGCTCAGCTGGCAATACCGTCCTGTCACTGCTGGGACAAGCGAGGCTGTGGAATTCCTGATGTTTGCAGAAGGTAGCTTCTTTCCACAAGTACTCAGTGAGCCAACTAGGAAAGGCGCCCTCCTAGACTTGCTCTTTGTGAATCAAGAGGGATGCATGCGAGGTGTGGTGGTAGGAGGCTGTCTTGGCCACCCTAACCCCAAAGAGCTTGAGCTCAAACTTTTGGGTGTCATGAGGGAAGAGTTCAGCAGAGTTGCTACCCTGCGTAGCAAGAGAGCAAAACTGCAGCTGCAGAGGGAGCTACTTGGCAGGGTCTCCTGGGCATGAGCTTTTGAGGACTCAGGGGACCATGAGAGCTGCTGGCTTTTAAAGAAGCGGCTTTTGAAAGCGCAGAAGCAGCAATCCCATCGTGTCAACGCCAGGCAGACGCAGCAGGAGAGCAGCTTGGATCTCCTGGAGCTGGGTCGGGAACAGAAATTGTGTGCTCTCCAGAAGCAAGGTCAAGCTCCTCAGGAAGACTGCTGAGCTGTGGCTCACACACAGAGGGAGACATCACGAAAGGCCAAAGCTCAACTAGAGATGAAACCGGTCAGTGTTCCGTCAGGCAACAACAAAAGGCTTTTTGAAGTACGCTAATAACAAGCGGAGGCCTAAGGAAAGTACCTTTACTTTATGAAGATGGCCACTGAAAATTGGGGACGAAGAAAAGACAGAGGCGTTTAATGCTTTAGCATTGCCTCAGTGTGCATGGTAGACCTGGGGCTCCCTGGTCCTGTGAGTAAGAAGAGCATGGCTGCAGGAGCCATGACTGTCTGTTGGTGGAGACTGCAGTTGTACGGGAGCAGTCTTGGGGACTGGGGCTGGACATGGGCATCCTGGGGAGAGCCCTACAGGGCTCTGCCCCATCTGGGACCCCAGGTTCCAGAACCGAGGTCACCATGGTGTTCTGTTCTAAGGCGGTGCTGGCCCAGCAACAACCCCAGTGCCTGCACAGACGGTGCTGCGAGCGGCAGCACCAGCGGCACTGGGGGTGCTTCTCTGTTGTGGAGGAGCGCTCCCATCCTGAGCGTCAGGAGTGCCAACAGCGAGGAGAAGGAAGACACGACAACCCAGTATGAGTGATAAGCAAGCTTCTGCTTTATTCATGTTGCACGTCCCTTATATCCTCACAGTGTTAGTTATGCCTACTAGTCGTAACAGCATCGGTTAGTTCTAAACGGTTACATTTCATTCTCCTCCCAGTTATGCTCCTGTTTTCAAGGATCTTTAACCGCAACCTGGCCCCTAGGGACTTTCCCCGGAGCTCAAGGGCAGTGTGCCCTTCAGCCCGAGTCACCCACTCGTGAGGCCTACGCTTTGCTTTGCTTGCACAAGGCCTCCAAGGATCCATGGCCCTGCTCTTGGAGCCATTCTGCAACACAGGAGTTTGTATTTGCAGGTCCTCTCGCGCCCCTGTCAGGACGGGGCAGTGGCTCTGCTGCTGCGGGTCCAGGTGGGTTGCCCCACAGCTCAGGGACGCACCGCACAGCCGGGCCCCGCAGCAGCTGCCTTGCTCATGTCCGATGCTGTCTGCCCTGCAGGGATGCCCTGGCACCGTCAGCAGTGCAAGCCCGACCTGGCGTTGCCCAAGCCGCTAATGCAGAAATGTGTGCGGGTGACCCAGGGCCGTGGCCAGAGGAAGAAGAGGGATCTCCTCCTCTTCAGAGACACCCTAAGTAAGACTGGCATAGCCCAGATGCCTTTCCTCCCAAGCCCTGGCCCTGGCACCAGGGCACCAGAGCAGGGACAGACAAGGAGCAGCCCCAGGTCCCCAGCACCCTGGTGCTGGATGCACCCGTGGCCTTGCCCATGGCTGGCGGGCACTAGAGGGGAGCCAGTGGGCTCGGCCACCTCCAGCTCACTCCCTACCGCTCCTCTCTGCAGACGTGGCAGCAGCCCCCACCCGCTGCTCTGCCTGGCCCTGGGCGTGCTCCAGGTGCTGAGCAGTGGGAAGGGCTCAGCCGCTGATGCTGCTGAGGAGGAGCAGGAAGGGAAGGCCTCCAGCTCCCTTGTCTTCCTCTGGCCCCGTGGCTCCTGGGTTGTCACCTTCTGGTGAGTCTTGGTGCAACGTCCCCCCAGAGGGGTGGGCAGTACCTCTGCCCTGCCCCATGGGGCATCATCTTCCCGGTAACAGCAGGCACTAAGGCTGTTTCTCCTCTCTTTTGGCAGCTCCTGAGTAGTGAAGGTGCTCTGGGTCAGCGCCCTCCTTGGGTAAGCCCTGCCTGGCACTGCAGCCTGGGCTGCCCATGCTCCCATCATGGGGGGCTGCTCCATGAGTGGCATCCAAACCATCAGAAAACACCTCTGCTGAGCTGGGCAGAGGAGCCCCACAGCCGAGCAGGCACATCTGGTGAAGATGCTTCATCCATCTGTGTCCAGCCAACACCTGCCCAGCCCCATCCTCACCGCTGCCACTGCTCCTGCTCCAGTGTCGGGTGGTACTGGCTGCTCCGGGCAGTGTGGAAGCGCTCCCCAGGCTGGCAGCAGAGGGAAGAGCTGGCTTGGGTCTCCCACAGCTCTTTCTCTGCCCCTTCCTCTTGCACAGACGACGGGAAGGAGTTTAGGGAGCCCGGGTCACCCAGCTGCCCTCACTAAGGCTGGTGCTGACGGAGCTGAGCAGCTGCCACTCTGTGAGTGTTCCTCCTGCCTCTGCTCCGCCCCAGGGGCTGCCGCAGCCCAGCATCAGCTGCATCAGTCCTCACCTTCTGTTCTTCTCCCCTTGCCCAGGGCACAACACTGGACGCCGGCAGCCTGGAGAAGCTGCTCCAGCTCCAGGCCCAGGTCAGGGTCACCTGCAGTGCAGTCTCACCCATCCCCACCTCTCACACACAGCCAGAGGCTGATGCAGCTCTCCAGGGAGCCTTTCTGCTGTGGGGCTCCTTGGTCAGCGTAGCCCATTTCTTGCAGGCTGGTGCCAAGCAGCTGCCAGTTCCCATCTCCTCTGTCAGTGAAGGCGGATGTGGCCATGTGGATGGTGAGTGTGGAGAAGACAGGGGCAGGATGGCCCTTCTCTCCTGCTCCTGCAGGCAGGCACGTGTGCTGCGATGGGGCTGCCGCTGTCCTTCCCACAGGGCATGTCTGTCCACATCACTGCAGCTGGAGAGAGCTGAGCCCCGGGGCCATCGTTCCCAAATGACAACGCCTCTGCCATGGACTCAGTGGTGGGGAGACAGCACTGAGGGAGTCTGGGAGCGCTCTCCTGGTGCTTCTCCTCCATGGCTCTTTGCTCTGTTTCCCTTGGCAGCAGTCAGGACCTGCAGGAGCAGGAGGAGGCTGCCCTGGCCATTGGCACGGCCAGGGACCTCGGCTGCAGTGGGGGCACCGGGGCCATTGGGCTCTGCTGGTGCAGGAGCTCTGTTTGGCCGGCCCCTGGCAGATCTGTGCAGCCAGGACGGCATGCTGCCCCAGCCCATCCAGGTAAGCCAGCCTGGGCAGGGGTTCCCCATCCCGTCCCATCCCATCCCATCCCATCCCATCCCATCCCATCCCATCCCATCCCATCCCATCCCATCCCGCTGGCTCCTCCATAGAGAGGCTGTCCCCAGCACCTATCCCAGGGCCTGTCTCCAAGCCAGCAGTTCTCCTCCTCTGTGCCCTCAGGACCTGCTGGCTCTGCTCAGTGAGCATGGCCCATCCACGGAGGGGATCTTCCGGCTGGCAGCCATCCAGCATGCCTGCCGAGAGGTCAGGGAGGCCCTGGACAGCAGGGTGCGGTGCAGCTGGAAAACCAGCCCATACTGCTGCTGGCTGTCCTCTTGAAGGTGAGCCCTGCAGCCCCCGGCTCTCTTGGTGCTGATGGGCACCTGCGGGAGCACAAGCAGAAACCCAGCTGCCTGCTCATGAGCCAGAGGGCTGGGGACGCTGCCTGTGCGCTTGGGGGCAGTGGCCAAAGCCTCACGTGGAGCCCTTGGCACTGCAGGACCTCCTCCGGAAGATCCCCTCCAAGCTCCTCCACATCCAGCTGTACAAGGAGTGGATGAATGCCATGGGGAAGACCAGCAGGCAGGAGAGGCTGGCAGCACTGAAAGTGTGGCAGCAGCCAGCAGGGACTGGCACATGCTGGGACTCCAATGCAAAGCAGTGGCCTGCCTGAAATAGCTATGGCTCCTGCAAGCCACCTCCTGGCTGCTGTGGGCTTTATGTCTGGGGGGAAAGGGGCACCAAAAAGCTTTTCTCTCCAGGGAGCACCTCCCACAGGTGTTGGGGCTTGTTCCCACAAAGGCCTCTTTCAGAAGGGTGGGGAGGGAGGGAGGTGGCTGTACCTCAGCAAAGGCAGTCCCTCTGCTGTAGAGCACGCAGTGGCCTTGGGTGTGATCAGCCTGGGAGACCTGTGTTGTCAACACCGGCTTCATTAACGCTCTGCTCCTGTTCCCTCAGGGTGGCCAGCAAGCTACCAGAGGCCAACCTGCTCCTGCTCCAGCGCTTGCTGGCGCTGCTTGGCAGCATCAGCAAGAACGTGGCAGCTACCAAGATGATTGCTGGGAACCTGGCATCTGCCTGGCACCAACCCTCCTGAGCCCAGCCCAGGAGCTGCTCCTGGGTGTCCTGGCTCTGGAGACAGGCAAGGTACGCTGTGCTCACCACCCAGCTACAGCGTCCCCAGCTCAGCCCAGCTTTGCTGCTCAGAGGGTCCTGGCTGCCTCCTCCCATCAGCAAAGCCATGGGGCAGCAGCCGGGAAGAGCAGCCCCACGGCTGCACCTTCCTGCACAGAAGCACGGCTCTGGCTGGGAAAGGCTGCTTGAGCCCTCATCAGCCCCCTCGGTGAAACCAGTGCTTTGCTGTGTGCAGATGACGCAGCTCATCAAGCTCCTCACTGACCAGCAGGAGGAACTCCTTGGAGAGCAGGTGGCCGGGGTGCCCAGCGAGAGGGATGAGGAGACACCAGCACCACAAGCAGAGCTGGAAACAGCAGGGGTAAGTGAAGGCCACAGGCAGTGTGACAACAAAAGCCTCCCCTCTCAGGTGGGGCTGCTGCCAGTGCAGGGACAAGCACGGTCATCCACCAGCCTGCAGCTCTGCAAAGCGGAGAGCAAGGCTGGTGCGGGTTGGCCATCCCGCTTTGTGCGGTGATGCCACCACAACTGAGCTGAGCAAACCCATCCAAAGGATGTGCCTTTTAGAGCCAGGGTAGCAATTGTGCAGGGAGGTCCTTGCCCCCCTGCTAACCTACACATTTGCATTGCAGGTGCCTCTCATCGCTCCCGAGAGCAAACAGCAGAGGAGTTTTTCTGGGGAGAAAAGGTAAAACTGCCTGGCTTTGCTTGGCTCAAGGTAATCATGGCTTCACCGGTCTAACAATACTATGGAATGCAAAGGTTCCCAGGCTCTTCATGCAACACCAGGAAGTGAAGAGCAGCCTGGGAAGAGGGCAGCGACGGGCCACCGTGCCAGAAGAAGAGCAAAACTGAGCTCAGGGATGTGTGATGGAAAAACTTCAAGCAGGGGAGGAACAAGGCACCCAGGTATGTAGCAGAGCCTGTGTTCCATCTTTTTGCCAAGCTCTGAGGATAGGAAACATTCCTGAGGTACAGAGGATGGTCCTGCCTCGGAGGAACATGTATGTCAGGAGAAACATACTACCCCAGCATTGCCTGCCAACCTGTGATTTTAGTATGGCAGGGAGAGGGATGCTGCTGCTTGGGTTTTGGAAAAGACCCTATCCCAGCTTCCCAGGCTCCCTGCCAAGCCCTGCTGCCTGGCAAGGGGGTACTGCACCTCTCTGCCAACTTCCCATGCTCTGAAGGTGTCACTTGCGTTGAGGAGGTACCAAAGCAGCACTGTAGTTGTCAGTCAGGAGCCAGTAAGGAGCCTCTCTCCTGTGCTAGCAATGACCTCTTTTACAGCATACCTCTAAAAAACCTAGGAACCAAGTCTCACCTGTTCATGGTTTCAGCAGCGCCTTCTGACCTGCCCTTGTAGGTGCCCATTTACTGCTTCGATTCCTTGCATGAGCTCTGCTGCCTGGGCTTGGAGTTCCACCCTGTGGTCCCGGCACCATCTTGGCAGCGGCGAGGACAGAGCCACCGTGTCCATCTGCTCTGCAGACAAGGTTCCACCACGTTGCCCTGGAGCCAGAGCCGCGCCCTCAGACCCATCCCAGCCCTCGCAGGGGGCCTTGCTGGCTAACTCCTCAGCACCGCCAGCAAAAGCCCACCCACGGGAGCATCTCCCCAGTGGGGAGCTGGCCTCTGGACTCTGTTACTGCCGTTGTTACTCTGCTTGTTACCACGTTTCTTAACACACTTTTTTCTGTATTTAGAACTATGTTTATTAGTCTATGTCTTTTCAAAACACATTTTAGGATATACTTTAGCATAGATTTAGGGTACAGTTTAGGAAGCATGTTATAGGACAGTAGTTATTTCACATTGTGGTAGCACACACTTCGTAGGATCATAGAATAGTTAGGATTAGAATAGGATTGTTAGGGTTGGAAAGGACTTCCAGTAATTTCATGTTATGTCACAAGACTACTCTTCGCGTGGCTTTTCATCTGTATTAGTAAAAAAGCAGAAAGAATCACAGAAGTCATATCTCTCTGCCTTGCCATCTGCATCCTGCAGAATGGAAAACAGAAAAGAGACTATCCTGAAAGAGTCTTTGGATTAGGAAAGAAATGACAGAAAGATATTTATGAATGCAGGAGCACTGCTGCTACACCTTGAAAAAGAGTCAGATAAGCTCCAGAAGAGTACTGCCTGCTGGTGGAATACAGCTGCGTATCTTAGACACTGTTAAGGTCCAGAAGGAGAGACTTGCTTCTGAAAGAAAATGCACAGGCAGCAGAAAGGAGCATTGAATGGCGCCACTGTATTCTCATTGACAGCTGTTTATGGTGGGCAGAGAGATGCTGAAACAGAAACAAAAAACCAAAAAAAACAAGGAAACAAAATAAAAAGAAACCCAACACAAAACTAAACAACCACCTCCCACCTCCTCCCCCCAGAAAAAAAACAAACAACAAAACACACAAAAGAAAAAACAACCGAAAAACCCCATAATCCTATTTTGGGAAAAAAAAAAAAAAAAAAAATCCCTCAGATCCCTCTGCACTCTGATGGGAGAAACACTGGGAGATGACAGCGGGTGTCCAGGCACCTGCAAACAAAGCTGTCTCAAACTGAGTACCAACAGTGACTTGTTAGTAGTAGGGGTGAGCGACTGATACACACGTATTCCCTTTGCATTTGCTGGAATACATTGTGCAGACTGCCTGCAGTTCTCAGCATTGCTTCATATGTATGTCTTTCTGAATTTTCTTTACCATTTCTATACAGAAATAAAGTGCCAAATGCATACCTGCCCAGTCCCTGTGTTTGGATGAGTCCCTTCCCTTTTTATTCCTCTCCCCATCTCTGGGTTTCCCTTCTCTCTCTCTCTGATAGTTACTGTCATGGTTTAAACCCAGCCAGACAGCTTGTGCACTCACTCCCAGTGAGTAGTGCCGGGCTGGAAGCAATCGAGGCCCACATCCCCCCCCCTCCCCGGGGGCTCCCCCCTTTCCCCGCTCCCGGAGGGATGGGGAGGAGAATCGAAAGAATGCAACTCCGATGGGCCGATAAAAGAACAGTCCAGCAACCAATATACAACACAAATCACCACCGCTACCACCACCACCACCAATAAGAGATAATAGCAAGGGAAAAGAGTACAATACCACCCGCCGAACAATGAGTCCGACCCAGCCGACCCCCTGTCCTTCCGGAGTGACTCCCAGTTACCTCCTGGGCATGATGTGCTGTGGTATGGAATACCTCTTTGGTCAGTTTGGGTCAGGTGTCCTGTCTCTGCTTCCTCCCAGCTTCCCCTCCTCCCTGGCAGAGCATGAGGCTCACAAAGTCCTTGGCCAGACCAAACATCATTTTTATCAGCTTTGTTCCCAGCCTGAAAGTCAAAACACAGCCCTGCACCAGCTACCAAGAAAGAGAAAAAATGACTGCTACTGCTAAACCCAGGACACTTACCTGTCCAAGAAGGTCGCGTGATGGTTGCATTTGCATAAGCCTTTTCTTTCTCCCAGGAACTTTTTGGTTTCCCCCCAAAACAGCTGAGGAGCCACCTGCATCCAAGAAAAGAACTTGAGTAAATTGCTACTTCTTCTGATCTCAGAAACAAAAGCACTGCTTTTGCTCAGAAGGCCACTGGTCAGGATTTCTGTGATCTTGCTATGCTCTCGTTCCATTTTCTTCACATTCAGTACCAAAGCCCCAGATCTCTTGGCCATGTTGCTATACCACAGACTCTCTTAGGAAGAGAATAATTTAAAGAGTGTAGGGAACTTCTGCTTATGGAAAGGAGATTATTTTTTGTCACCAGGGCTCCATCCCTGCCAGTGTTCAAGTCCAAGCTGGACAGAGCTTTGGGTGACATGATCTAGTCTCAGGTATCCCTGCCCATGGTAGAGGTGTTGGAACTTGATGATCTTAAGGTCCTTTCCAATCCTAACCATTGTCTGATCCTATGGAAAAAAGTGAATATATGGTACTTAGTCTGATCTTTTACAAATAAATAATGAATGTCAAGAATACAGTGGCCAGTCAGACCTTTTCTTAAACATCAGATTTTCTTGGGAAATTTTCAATGAGTGTTTCTTTCATTATATCACACTGATGTACCGAGTCAGAAAATATTTACAGGAATATATATTTTATGTAAGAAAGATATTGGAAATTGTGTTTTTAATAAAATGAATTATCTGGTGAGAGACAGGGACAGACTGACCCCAAAAAGCAAACTGTTATTGGACAACCACTTTCAGCAGGGATGTGGAAGATGCAGTCTACCCAAACCACTTAGCTAAAGAATCATATTCAATTTCATATCCAGTTAATAATTTAAGTGGACGGGCATCAGAGCCTCTATAAAGTCTCTATAAAGACCATAGTTTGAAGATCAAGTCATTCAGTTAGTGTATAACATTTCAAGGCTTCTCATTCATAAGGCAAATCAAAAGTGGTAGCAGAGTCTCCTGGACTATGGATTATGAAAATGAGAGCCCCAGGACCTATCCATGCCTCAAGACCAGCTGTCACCAACTTGATAATTGCTACACAATCCCTTTATCCTGAAGAGAGCCAGGCAGTGTTGTCCAAAACAGAGTAGGAAGCGAGACAATAATCAAACACTAGAGGCAACCAGGTTGAGCTCACTCATTATGTTTAATAGTACAGATATGCCTCGTTAGCCAGAGAAACCTAAGGGGTTTGTGTTGGTGACTCTTAATTGGCACACATATTTATATTATTTTATGTAAGCTAAAGAACTCTTGTACCTCTAACAAACATTGAGTACAGTATGTGTTTGTAGCCTTTTGTGTTGCTGATGGATTTGTGAAATGAGAAGTATTTTGTTCTTTTTACCTTACTTATTATCCCTTATCATCCACATGCATTTTTCTCCATGTTTATGTAAAAGAGAAGATTGGCTTCTATTTCACAACAGTAAATGAAACCAGGACACTTAAATAAGGAGGAACTCAAAGGTATGCTTCTGTTTAGCTGCACATTTGTGAGGGGGGATCTGTGGGAGCACTGGGCTTGAATATCCCTTGAGGGAAGGAATCTCTGTTTTGATAAGAGGGACACATGGCTATGACTTCAGTTTTCCAGAGAAAAAGAATGTTACGCTTTGATTTGGTTAACCCTAGATTAACCCTAGCCTCAGCATCTGTATTTCAGGCAGCTTGCTTGCACAAGTCACACAGTGTTTATGGTGAAAATTTCCTGTGCCACACACCTGACAAATTACTTTGCCCCTTTTAAGCAGAGAAAGAATGCGTTTCACATAGTAGCTGCAAACTATGAACAACACTAATAAGAAGAGGACTTGATCTTTGAAAGTGCTGTGCTTATTCAGCCCTGCAGATCCTTCAAGTCTGTGCTGTGGGCTTCACGTTTCAGTTAGGCCATAGTGCCTGCCCATCACAAATCCATGGATCTTGGTGGCAATTAATTTTCAACTATGGTACAGTTCCTTCAGGAGATCCAGCATCAATACCTCCAGATGTTTGTACGGATTAGTGTCAGTTTGCTTAGTCACTGCACTCATACAAAATAGCAAGTCCAGTGTCTTCAAGGAAAATGATTCTTATCCCCCTGAGGGTGCCCAAGCACACTCACTGTATCTCACAAACGAGATTCCACCAGAGCTGAGAATAATGAGTCTACTATTTTGATGGCTGACATCAAAAAGTTCAGGACTGCCTTTGCACCTGCATCAGGACTGCCAGAAAACACCCAGTTTGGAGCAGGGCCTATAATCTACCAATTGTGCACATGCAGTATCAGTTCGCTCCTTCTCACACTGGTTCTCCTGACTGGAGGAGCTGAGAATGGCCTCTTCCTGGGTCCCCATACCCTTGGGTAGGGACTGTTCTGGAGGGTAGATTTTGTCTAGTTAAGCCTGCCAGCACTTTTGGATCACTGGCTAATGCTGTGCTTGAGCATTCTGGGCATCGCCCCACTGCCCCAGTCCTGCCTGCCTATCCATGCTAAGCACTTACTATCAACTGAGGGAAGCAGAGTAATGAGGACATACGTAATAAACTTAAAATGCTCACTAATACTAAGGCCATAAATGAAAGAATCGGGGAGTATCTCCATAATGAGCACAAGTGTACATACTCCTGTCTTTCACACTGCCACCTCCTGTGCTTGTCAAGATGCCTTCCCGAGCTTAGGTGGTTTCCTTGTAATGGTTATTTCTATTGAAGGTGGTTTGCATCCTACTAACCCTTAAACCTGTCATAATGGAATTTGAGAAACCCAAGCTGGATCAACCGATTTTTAATGAAGTCATCTGACAGAACAATGCATGCCAGGAGGTAAACTGCTCTTTTGCTAGAGTTATTCTCAATTACCTGTACGCAGATGTTGGTCTGGGGCTGCAGCTGTGGTGACTCACGTCCAGTGCAAGTGGGTGTATTCACCGGCAGCAGATGCTGGCATTGAAGACATGGTGCCATCTGAAGAAAAAGCCACACCATGTAATGTTATTAAGTTTATCAAGAGGTTTTCAGTATTTCCATGGTTACAGTCTGCAGCAGCAAAGTCACTAGAAACAGAGCAACTGATAGCCACAGCTGCTGGTACGGATCCTTACATAGCTAAGGCTATTGGGAAAATATGGAGACAACTGCAAAGAGTGACTTTACTGACAACTAAAACTAGGCCAGAAAGGTACAAAGTCAGTTTCCACTAAAATTAAAAGCTGCTGTCAATTGTAGGAATCGAAATCCTCCCAATTATGAACCTAATCTAAAGAGGTGGTGAATACTCTCAGTCATCACTTGAAGCTACAACACTGCCCCAGACAACACCTCTTTCTGATGAGATGGGGGAAAAATTATACCACTGACTTGTTAGATCAGGTTATTATCTCTTGGGAAGAGCTGAGACAAGACAGTTACAGACATCCCTGTAAAAACTTGGTGCTCTTACATATATGCCCACATCTGCCACCATTCAAGGTTTCAGGCATTTCAGCTTTTCATCTTTTATGGCTGTAACACAAGCAGTAGTTACTAACTACCTGAACTAGTTAGCACTGAAACAAGATGCCTGTGCAGGTCCTGAAGATGTTGTGGTATTGAATAAACTCACAGAATCACAGAATTCCAGAGTGGTTTGGGCTACAAGAGACCTTAAAGCTCCTCCCCGTCCAACCCCCTGCCACAGGCAAGGACACCTTCCACTAGAGCACCTTCCTCCAAGACCCATGCAACCTGGCCTTCAACACTGCCAGGGATGAGGCAGCCACAGCTTTTCTGGGCACCCTGTGCCACTGTCCCTCCACCCTCACAGGGAAGAACTCCTTATTAGTTAGATAATCTCAGTCTCCCCTCTGGCAGCTTAAAGCCATTCCCCTTGTCCTGTCCTACATCTCTTCTACAAAGCCCCTCTCCAGGTTTCTTCTAGCCCCTTTAAGCCCCACAGCTGCTCTAAGGTCCCCCCTTAAGGAACCTTCTCTTCTGCAGGCTGAACAAGCCCAGCTCTCTCAGCCTCTTATGTTTATCTCCTGGGCTCTGGGTGGAGGCCAATGATCCACAGAGGACGTGGATGAGAAATTAATAAAATATACTATACTTTCTCACAGTTTTCTGCAGTCAAACCAAAATGCAACAGTTGAAGAGCTTGATCTTGGAAGCAATCAAGACTGCTACCATGTAGGAAATAACTCATATGCCAGTAATACTGCTTCAATGCATCAAATTAAGAGCAAGTAGAGCTGGTGCATCAAAATACCTGGGTTAATTTTCTACGTTCCTTAACGAAATTTGTTCTCATCAAAATCATCACAAAACGCAAACAAAAGTCTCGAGGCTCAAAGTTTCACATGGACACCTAAGAGAAGTTTTTACCTGGATTCAAAGCTCTTACTCAGACCTGATTTCATTTCTAGAAGAGCATTTGCGTCTACTTCATGGTTAGCCTTCTCTGGAAGAGGGATTCCAAGTGGGACCACCTGAGGAACTGGCACAGAGCCAGCCATCACTTTCTCCACAGTGCTCTTGAAAGAAGAAAAACAAAAAGGCAGACAACAATGTTTCTGAACAGAAGAATGCATTGACAGATACGGTCTTTTCATGGCATTCCTGCCTTCATTTGTTTCTCTTAAAAGAGACAACACCAGGTTCTTTAAAGTGTTATTCCTTATGGCATGGTTTTCACATTGGAAAGGAGCAAGGAACCAACAACCATTCCAATTCCAACTTACTCTCCTCTTGCAGAACTGTGAACAAAGCTTGAGATGAGCACTGCTGCTTTCATTTCACTTTGACCTTCCTTGCTTAAGTCTGGTTCCCACGTGAAGCTTTAGCATCACACATCAATGATACCTGATAGGAGTGAGTAACAGGGAAGTCTCTCCACCCTAGTGGCCCATTGCAGCCACCTGAATAGATACAAGATGTCCTGCAAAGGGCTAAAGCAAGACAGCCGTTGCTTAAGCTTATCTCAGCTTCTGTATTATGAATATACCTATAAACAGGTGCCAGACATGATTTATCATAATTTACAGAGGCATTATCATGTCACACAATTCAAGACTGACGAACTGCATTTCATACACTAACATTTTGCAATACAAAACGATGGACTCCAGATCTTGGGAACCGATCTGCAGGGCCAGGAAACATGCCTGCACTTCAAGTGTTTCCTTCAAGTGTTACTTGATGGGGCCATCGGAGAGCCCCACACAGTGCAGCCCAGGCTGGGCCATTGCTCTGGCTCCGGCAGAGGCACAACTGCCTTGGGAAGCTGCCAGCGAACAAGAGCTGAGAAGCGGCTGCAGAAGGGCTCTGCTGGGGGGCTGAAAGCCAAGGGGGGCGTAGGGGAAAGGAGAGGCTGCAGAGCCTCACTCTTGGGGTTTCTTTCAGAGGAGGTGGAGCCACACTCAGCGTGATTCTTAAAGCCAGCTCACATCTGGCCTGAGGTGGGTGGTTTGGTTTGGGGGTTCTTTCTAATACACGTGTTTCTGGATGCGTTTCAGAGCAGAACCTGGATCTCAGGGTGCTGGGAATAAATCCCTGGAAAGCTTGCCAATTCTTGCTGCACAGTTGTCCTGGGGTCAGCTCTAATAGTTCTTTTTCTGCTTCTTAGCTGCCAACTTAAAATGAGTTCAGATTTTTTTATAAAGGATGCAGAAAAGCTTGGTTTATTTCTTCCTTGTCTTACAGTTTGGTGTCTGCGCTTTTGTTGGGTTGTTGGTTTGGGGTTTTGTTTGTTTGGTTGTTTTTTTTCCAGTACTTGTGCAGTTTTATCTCAGGGTTGGATGAAACCTTCATGGAGATCCTGCTGCCCTGATACCGGAGTATCTGGAGGTGAACTCACCCCCAGCCTGCAGTGCAGATCATGGGGGCCCAGGTTCTGGGGAGATGCTGTCTCAGGCAGTCGGCTGTGTCCCGTCTGCCTTGACAAACTGCCACCACAACCTGCAAGTGAACCCGTGCCCACTGCGCCCAGAGCCTGGGATGCAAAGCACAGAATTACAAGGGTGTCCCAGACACACTGGGGAACCCCAAATGTGGTTTTACACAGGGTTCTTGCCCCCTTCAAACAGTCGTGTACCACACACTTGGACTGAGCACTAGCACTAATCACAACTAAAATCCAGGTAAATGTGATTTAAGGAGGGACCCAAAGCCCCACTTGCCAAAATCACAGGCCAGAAAGTCTGGAGTAATTCGGCACTTCACCCTCTGAAGGGGGACACAGCCCAGCTCCATGCACACAACCACACCAGCTGCTTTGCCAGCAAAGCCTTGTGCTTCACACCTAGGCTTCTCCTGCATGTTTGTTCACAGCAGATGAGACATAACAGTTCTCTTCCTTTAAATCCTACCGACCCATCCTTGCTTGGGCACTGCTGAGGGGTCACAGGGACCAGCCCAACTGAGCTGGGTCACACTGACCCCTACACAGGGAGCACAGATCCAGCCCCAGGCTGCCACCAGACACTGGCAAAGGCTCTGCCAGTGCCAAAGAGAAACATCATTTCCTTGTGCAAAAGCTTCACTGCATTATTACAAGAAAATGTTTTGCACAATTACATTGAAAAAAATCCAGATGGTTTGGAACACACGTTCGGACTCCATGCAACACAGAAACAGTTCAATGCCATGTTATAGCATCCAGCTGCTTCTGTAGAGCCCAGAGAATGCTACTTCTGTTCTCTCAGTGCCACTCTCTTCTGGTGAGAAAGCTTTTTGGAAAGATTGCATCTCATCTGCACATCCACAGCACCTACCAAAATGCAATCCCCATCTCATGCCAAGCCTCTGCAACCCAACAGCAAGAGAAGGACGTCAGAAGAGCACCTCTGACACACCAACAAGGCCAGGTGAATACTGTGCCTGTTTTGGCAACACACGTACCAGCAAATTTCCTTGTAACAGGAAAGAAAAAGCAGCTCCCGCTGTCCAAAGCTGCTCTTCACACAGAGCAGGGGAACACTGGACAAGGTGAGGATGTGCTGGCACTTGAGAGCCACCTACAAACTGCACTGACCACTGCAAGCAGGAACCTGGAGAGCTGCTGCAGCTGCAGGCCCAGCCTGCGGGGCTTGTCCCACAGAACACGAGTGCAGCCAAACACAAGGTCCAGCCTGAGCTTACCTTTAAAGTAACTTTGCTTTCTTCCACCCTTATTTATCAGGGACGCCCAAGTCCTACCCAGAAAAGGCAAGCCTCAAGAGCTCTTGTAATGCTCGTTATGAATTATAATCCTGTGAATTGTCCCTGTGACCAATCCACATTTTAATGCTAGAAGTAGCTACCAAGCAGTTAAAGGATATTTATCAAAGCTTGTTTTAAAATGTAGGCTCACACTGAATTCTGAGCAGAGGTCAAAGCTCAGCCCAGCCAAATGAGCTGCTGCAGATGAAAGCACAGTGTTCCTATAGGAATCTTTCATACCTTAAAAGATCCAGGAAGTTTTTGCAGAGCTCTAAACCTGTGTATCAGGTTTAGTTGATTTTAAATTTGACTGTTAAGTGCCCCAGCCTCATGCAGGTAGCTTAAAATACAGCTAACAATTCTTGGAGACTCCAAGAAGTTTCTGCCTGCAACTCAAACTTGCAGACAACCCTTTTTCTGTAAGCCTTATACCTTAAGCACCTTATAGCTTAACACTCACTGCCTCATTTCAAACAGAACTTCACCAGAAGTTTCTTCATCCAGTGTCAGCAAGGTTTGGTCTCCCACAGCCCTCACATGCTCACAAAGGAGGTGATGGACACTCCCAGTGCTGGTGAACACCTTCCCATTGAATGGCTTCTCAGGGGACAGTGCCAAAGGGGATCAGGAAACATCCCCTGGGGCAAATGCACACAGAAGGAAACAAACTCCTTGTCCATATGTTGTTTCCTGTAAACCCCATCTCATTCTTGCTCTCTCTCTCACACAAACCTTTTCTATTTACATTGCAAATGTGACTCTCAGCATCACTAAACATTTTGCTTGGGAAACCAAGAAAAAAATCTCAAAACTGTGTCAAGAGATCAGCCCATTTGATTGCTTTGCAGCCCATCAACAGAAAATTAGGGTATTATCATCACTATTGCTCATGCCTGCAGTTTAGAAATACAAAGGTTAATAAAGCCATTTCATTCCTTGGGAACAAGTCTGGATTGATCTGTCTTTCCAGTCTCAGTCTCCCAGCTTTAGGAGATAATCCACCTGAAGAAATGGTGTCCCTGTGATTAACAGCAGTCCTGCAGGCCACAAACACACACATTAGATTTCATATTTGATCTGATAAATACATTTCACGGGAGTAACTGAAGTCATCTGCCTGACCCAAACGACTGCAAGAACCCAGCATCTGTCTCAAGCTCTTTGATGATCCTTTGTGAAGTGCAGTGAAGCAGAGGGAAAAAAGCAGTAGAACAGAACTCAGCCTTCACTTCCACCAGGTCAGGCAACAGGAGATGGATGCAAAATTAAATTCAGATCACCTGCAGAGATGTGAGGAAACATTTATTAGATAAAACTCCACAGCTTCACTCTGACAGCCCATAAAAAGCAGGACAACAAGGAATTCTGACCATCTGTGACTCTATATCTCTCTTATCCACAAGTGATTTGCACTAGAGGCACTACTTGCCTGCAGAAGAGATCAAAGCTGGACCCTAAGTTGCTGCAAATTAACCACATTGCACAGGCAGAACACCTGCTATTCCAGCTCCTATATGCAGAGGAGTTAACAAACAACACTGACGTCCACAAAATCTGTGCTCAAAACTGTTTAGGAACATTTCAAACCCAAATAACTTTGTGTATGAAGAAGCACCTGATAGAACCCTGAAGTGCACCACCTCTCTTTAAACTTGTTAGCTTGTGTGTGGGTAGTTCAGCTACAAAACCCCAAAGCATTGCCTGTGCTGGGAGGGATTACTGCAAGACAACAGATGATGTCAGTGTAAAACATAGTTCATCATTCTGCAAGAGGAAAAATGGCTCAAGGGACGAGGCAGCTCATGTGGAAAACTTCTTGCACAAACTCACAGCCACTAAAGTGAGGATGTGACTTAAACCGAGATTTAAACAACTAAATCTCCCTGCCTGGGAGCAGGAGAGACTGATCATGACAAATTACTTTCATAAATGCAGATCATCCTGCTCTTTCATATCAAGTCTTCAGCATTTATTTTAATTATAGCAAATAACTGCCCTGACGGGACCGTTTTACAGTTCAAGTGCTTGCATAAACCTGCTGCGGGTCAACACGCACATTCCCCGGGAGATTCAACACCCAGACACAGTCATTCCTCCTCCAGCTAATGAAAGACAGCCAGCAGCTCAGGCTCCTCAGGATGTATGTATAGACCTACCTCCTGCCACTGCCCCACTCAAGAGAGCTGAGGACTTCCATGCACAAGAGTGTACTTCCAGTCCCTCAACACCTGCACTCTCAGGATTTCACCACTTGCAGAAGCAAGAGGCCAGCATCCAGCTCTCATGGCAGAACAACCGTTTGTCATCAGACCAGAAACCGCAGCTCATCGCTGCAGGCATGTGTCTTTGCGTGGCAGCACTTGTCACTGACCGCTGGTGGCAAGTACACACAGGCAGGAGAGGAGAAGGGACCACAGCACAGCCACACAGGGAGACATTGAGCCCTTCTCCCTCCAATCGATTCACCTGCTCGTGCAAGCTGCAGTGCACCAGGTCCATACAAGCTATGGGGCAGGAGCTCTCACACAGCAGCCTGCCTTGCTCCACGTCACTGGGGCTACTCTCCTCACAGAGCTTGTTACAAGCAGTGGGGAGGATTTTACCTCCTTTCCCCTCCCTAAGGTCAGCAACAGAG